GAATAAAAATTCTCAAGCCGAGATAAAACTTGACTTTACGTTGATATATAATCATGAGGGAATGTCGTACGCATTCCAAGTGTTTTTTTCCTTGCAGGTAGCAATTTATAACGGTCACCCTGACCTAGCCAAAGCACGAAGCTGTCTTCATCTACTACAGACAATTTCAAACCTGATTCCCCAAGTGAATTCAGAAAGTCCAGAATCATCTTTTGACTCGGCACGCGCGAGTGCATCCCCAGTGGAGTTAATCAAGAATGTCCCCAGTGAAACTAAACCGGGGCATTCGCAGAGCTAAACCGGGGCATTCGTAGGTGTCCATGTCCATCTTTTATCTCCAAGTGATTCAAGAGATAATTCCCCAGTGTGCGTAAACTTGGGGCATGTATTCAAAGAGATCCACATGGTGTCCAATGCCCATTCTTCGGCATATTCAGTTCTATCATCCTCTCGACAGTTCAGGATGTGTGGGAGTCTGGCCAGATTATCCCTTTCCCAACGGTACGAGTCAGAATTCAGCGGTATATCTGAAGACTCGCTTCGTCAGCAATTCAATCTTTAGCAAAGTCATCAATAATCTACAGTATCATGGGCCCCAATGCAATTCTTATCAGTATCCCCAACGACCTTTGATACTGTAGGCTTCCAGCGCCAATGTGTATTGACATCCCCAGTAATGAGCAATGGTTCCCAGCGAGATTTCGCTTATCCCCATGAAGTCTATTTATTTGCATTGCATATAGCTATCACTACATAACATTGCATCTTCAAAAGCGCGTAGCCGATCCATCAATATGGATCTTTGTGGCAAAAGAAATTCGAACATGCATACAAAGCGTAAGCCAGATCAGGTACCCTACATGAAAGATCTGAATCATTCAAGGACAATAATACATCCCTACAAGAGGATATCATCCCCCAAAATCCCCAGTCGATGATTTTCACCTTTTTTAATACCCAGCAAAATCAACACACTTTGTCATTCTAAACCCAATTTTCGTCTGGTGGCCAGTCCCCGTCAGACAAATAATTCAGGCTTCCAACACTCGTCTGTGTCAATTCCAACACTCGTCTGTGTCAGTTTCCTAAACACTCATTAGTGTCAGTTCTTCAAACACTCGTCTGTGTTAAATCTTTTGATACTCGTTTTTATCTTTCTTCAGTACTCATCCGTATTGATTCCAACACTCGTCCGTTTGTAACCTTTTGACACTCGTCCGTATCTTCTTTCAATACTCGTCCATATTGATTCAAACACTTGTCCGTGTTATACCTTCCTTGTATTGGCATCACGCTACATTACAAGTTCGATATCTTGTATTGGCATCACGCTATGTTACAAGTCCGATCTCTTCCTTGTATTGACATCACGCCATGTTACAAGTCTTCTCTGTCCTTGTGTTTGCATCATGCTACCTCCCTTTTAATCATCGGGTCTTGATAGATGTATTCCTGTTAGCCGTCGTGTCCTAATCGATACCTCTCTTCGAACCATCGTGTCCTGATCGATGTCTTCCTTTTTGTTATCGTGTCGTGACCAATACCGCCACTTTCCTAGAACCTGAGATCGCCCGTAGGCTAGGTTCTTCCTTAGATCATCTTCGAACCTGAGATCTCCAGTAGGCTAGGTTATTCCTTAGATCATCTTCGAACCTGAGATCGCCCGTAGGCTAGGTTCTTCCTTAGATCATCCTAGAACCTGAGATTGCCCGTAGGCTAGGTTCTTCCTCAGATCATCGTCGAACCTGAGATCTCCTGTAGGCTAGGTTCTTCCTCAGATCATCTTAGAACCTAAGATCGCCCATAGGCTAGGTTCTTCCCATAGATCATCGTCGAACCTGAGATCGCCCGTAGGCTAGGTTCTTCCTCAGATCATCCTAGAACCTGAGATCGCCCTAGGCTAGGTTCTTCCTCAGATCATCTTAGAACCTGAGATCGCCCATAGGCTAGGTTCTTCCCATAGATCATCGTCGAACCTGAGATCGCCCGTAGGCTAGGTTCTTCCTCAGACCATATTAGAACCTGAGATCGCCCATAGGCTAGGTTCTTCCCTCAGATCATCTTCGAACCTGAGATCGCTCGTAGGTTAGGTTCTTCCTCAGATCATCGTCGAACCTGAGATCGCCCATAGGATAGGTTCTTCCTTAGATCATCTTCGAACCTGAGATCGCCCGTAGGCTAGGTTCTTCCTCAGATCACCGTCGAACTTGAGATCGCCTCTTAACTAGGTTTTTCCTTAGATTATCGTCGAACCTGAGATCTCCCTTAGGCTAGGTTCTATGTCAAATCACTCTCATGTTTCACCTTAGGATCGTAGGTCGCCCGTAGACCTTGTCCGCTGTCTTTTCATACCAACCTTTGTCTTGTATTGGCATCACGCCATGTTACAAGTCCAACCTCCGTATTTTCACTAAAAAAAACAAAACAAAAATTCTAGCTGATACCACAAAAATAAATAAATACTCATGCTTTATCCCAGAACAAATTTTTGGCATTGGTATTTAATCATCTTCAACCAGGAACTCCCGAAAGGCACGCGCCAATCGTACTTTCAAGTTTAAGACGATTAAATAGGGGGCAACTGTAATACCCCAAAATTTTCCTACCCTTTTACTTTTATATGGTTTATGCATTGTCGCGCTTTTATCATCTACACACCTTCCACTAGGTCATCTAACACATCATGCATCATTCATTAATAAAGATGGCGCGCTGGAATATGGAATTGGGGGTTTCTATATGGGTTTAAGGACATCATTTGGTTTCTCCATCACTATTGATTAGAAGCTAGGGTTTTTATTCATTGCGAGTTTCTTCCTTCATCAAGATACAAAATCGTCTCGAGATCGAGTGCTGAAGGTCATTTGTGTATGCTTAAAACCTCATCAAGGATTGTTTACTGAGATCGTTTGAACTAGGGTTTTGGCATTCTTCAGCATCTTAAGCCATATTCTCCATCTTTGAGCTTCAAAAAAAATCCTCATAATTTCATCAATAATTCTAACTAAGAATACTGTGAGCTATGGCTTTGTGGTTAACTCGTTTCTTCATTCAGTATATACCTCATAAGATTAGGGTTTATATCCTATCATAATTAGGTCTGATAACATTTTCACTGGGCATTTATTGGATAAAAAGGCATGAGACGTGGCATCTTGCGAGATCATTGGTTACCAAGGCAAACATTTGGATCGCAAAACACTAAATCTTGATTCAAAGGATAAGCTTGTGGATTCATTATTATATTTGTTACTTGCAATGTAAGGGGATGCAGATTGAGCGGTTTTGTTAATCAAAGATTGGTTTAGAATTGTCCATCCAAGTTTTATTTGTGTTCAAGATAAAATTTGAAGGAGATGCATATGAAATACAAATTGCAAGTTTCAAGAAAACCATGGTTCCTTTAAGTTACATTTGAAGACGTCCAAAACACAGAAATTCATTCGACATGGTTGAAGTAAAGGAGATTGGAACTTCGAACTCAATTTGAAGAAAAATTACTTTAAATATTTGAGGGGATTGTCATAGAATTGTAAATGCATCACAAATTCATGTGTCAATGCCATTACATCAAATTACGAAATCTACACAAAGTCCAAATCTCTCATTACATCCAAAGGCACCATATTCAAAACTATTACCATTATAACACATCCATACTGTTACAAATATTACAAAAGATTTCAAGTTCTATTTGAGCCAAAGATCCTAGGATACTCAATCTTCACTCAAATTTGTCTTCCATCTTTTGTCTTTGCACCACCATTAACTTCATGATATGCCAAGCTAAAACCAATCTCTCTTCATTCCATGACCAAGCCTTTCCCGCTTTTCACACCATGAGTCAAGTCTTCATTTAATTTTAGACTATGCTTCTTTTCTAAGTCAATTATTTAAGCCCTTTATCATTCTTCAACTGGTCACAACTGTTCATAACCTGCATCAGTTCAACAAATCCAAAACTGTTCATGCACTTAATCAAAGCGAGTCCAAACGGAAACAATCATTACATAGGCCAAAATAGAATTTCAAACAACCTATAACTAACAAATTGAAAACAACATATAACAAACTTCTTCTAACCATTTCCTAATTGTTTCTAACCTTCCTAATTAACTTTCCAAAATAGCTTTTCGTAACCAAAAATAAGCAGAGAAAACAGAATTTTAGCCAGCATTCTAAAAAACAGCATCTTGTAATAAATCCATAACAGAAACCCCAATCTTTTCCCAACCAATTTCAACCGACTAACAACCAGCTACTAAGAGAAAAAGCTAAATTTCAACTAAATCTTAACCATTCACAATCCTCTAACCTTTTTCTAAACTAATTCCTATAACTGTCTGCAACCTCTAATCCCGACAGAAACTTATAGCAACATAACCTTTAACTGAATTTCTAACCTCCTAAGCTACCTCATAACAACCATCTAACAGATTTCCAACAGAATCTCAACAAACTTCTAACGTAATCACCAAACAAAATATTAACTAACTTCCTCTCAAAACAGAAAATAGTTCATAACAAACCTATAACCGATCTCTATCTAACCAAATCTCCATAACAGAATGACCAACCGTTTCATAACCGACAGCCTTGCATAACTTCTTTCCAACTAACTATAACTAACAAAAATCATCACCATTCATCTCTAACCGAAATTTAAGAATCATGGGCCAGGATTAACTTTACCTGTAACTAACTTTCTCCATACGAAACCGTATATATAAACCTTCATTCATCCGGAACTGAGAGAGGTTCATTTTCATAACAGAAAATCACAAAAAATCTTCATCTCCTCTTTCTGATCAAGACCATAACTGAATCTTCAACATCATCATCTTCTCTATCTTGCTTAAATCTTCATAAACTTGCGACTTCAGCCTATTCAATGATTCTGCAATCATAATCGCTATCACCGCAACCACATCGGAACTTCACTCTCACTGCATAACCGAGCTTCATTCATCAGCTCTCAAAGCTCCAATAATCTGTAACTGTCAACCTCTTTCTGAATCAACACAAGAACGTTTCAACATCATCAATCTTTAACAACAATTCACAGAATTGGAATCGCGAAAAAGAAAATAGAAGGAGGAGCAGAAGTAATTTCGCACCTGGAACCTTCTCTCTAACTCTCTCCCTTTCGCCTTTGAGCGTCTCCGATAGGTAACTCCCGAACTCCCTCTTTTTCTTCAACTCTTCGCTTAGCTTTTGTTACCACTGTGAAGTATGAAGCTCAGTGAACCATAACCCCTTGGATCCATGGCCTAACGCTCCGTATTCGCCATTTAATATTGATGTGAGGCAACTTAAGGCTTAGGTTAAACCGTTAGAGGTTGACGAAGGTGAACAGGGAATTCAGAACCATGGCATTGAGTGAGATAAGCGGAAAAGGGAGGTTCATAGTGTGATAACCGTAGTTGTGACGGTGGTGAGAATCAGAGATGAGGGAGAGAGATGAAGAGTTTGGGACTTAGGTGTGATACAGAGGAGGAAGATGATGGAGATATCACATTTGGCCATGAGGACGGCGGTAGAAGGCATCGAGTCGCGCTGCTGGCGAGATGAGGGAGAAAGAAGGTTGAGTCCGGCGATTTGAAGAGGACTCATCGAAGAATCTGAGACAGAATCAGAAGGAGGTGGCATTGTACTTTCAATCGCCGGAATAAAGGAAGAAGCACCGCTGCGTTTCGTTGGAAGTAGAAGATTGAGGTCGTGAAAATGGAATCGTGAACCCTAAATTTACCCCCTCACCCCTCTTTTAATTTTTGTTTTTATTTCAATTCAATAAATATTAATAAATAATTTAATATTGAAACCAAAAAATTAAAAAGGATGATGTTGGTGATTCTTTGGTTTGGGCCGAACCACCCTTTTTTGAAGCCTGGCGGATTCCGTGTCACACCCCCCTGTATCCATGTGCATATCATTCTTACAATTTTTTGCAATTTTTGATTTCTAAATATTGGTCGGGCCACTGCACCATAAGCCCATTGCTACTGTTTTTTGGCAATCTGAACTTTGAACAAAAAAACCTATTATGGACTTATTTTTTGGATTAGGCTTATATATTGCTGACTTACACCTCTTGGCTGCTGCTTGCACCCTTGGCCATAATTTTTAGATTTTTCTATATTTCTTTTATTAGGTTTTTGCTAATAAGAATTAGTCAGTTTTAGGAGACAATCAGAATAATAGAAACAAATAATAATAATAGATTAGAAATTTTTTAAGAATTAACTCTTTAGTTTTTTAGAATTTTTCTTACATAAAAACTAATAATCAAAATACTTTATTTATTTTAGTTTTTATCCATATCTCCATACCGCTCTGCTTTGTTATTTTTGACGCATTTGTTCATTGTGCGAGGTACATTTTTTTTGTTGCTTTCGATCATATAACGTAACAGGTAGTTATGTGATCGAAACATATGGCTTATGCTCGCTTCTGATGCGACACACCTTATTTCTCACCGTCCTGAGAAATCCATATCATATTATATGTTATCCTGATGCATGTGGTATATTATGATACTTTATGCAGGAACTTCAGATTATGCGTCGCATTCGCGACACGCGTTTGCCTTTATCTTAGTTGGATATTGTTTCTGACTCTGTTTGTTTCTTGGTGAATCTTACTCGATGCGTACTCCCTTCTTTTTCAGTGCTTTTGTCTTATCTTGACGACTTTCTCACTTTGGTAGCCTCCGCTACTACCCTTGTACTTCTTTGCACTTTATTGCATTTCGTTATCACTTTCTAAAAATCATGAGAAACATGGCTTTACTGCAAGCTATGCATGCTAACGTTAGGTAAACATTTCCCTTTTGTTAATCCAAATCATAGGGCTACCATTGTATGATAAAATTAGGTTTCAAAATAGGCTAGTCTCCCTGTGACTTTTCTTCCCTTTTTTGCATATGCATTTAAAACTAAGACTAAAACTTCTTTTTATTTCAAACTTCAAAACACTTTAAAATTACTGATGAGAATCATGCCTTTGCTTAGTATTGGAAATGATAAGCGGGTATCTTATCGATATTATTGTTCTTCATCTCAAGTCTAGGTGTGATTCAATTCTAAAAGACTCCTTTCATGGCTAAGTAGAAAAGTGGCTAATATCTCTCTCTTGAGGTCAACTAGTCGTTATCTGCAAAAAAATACAAACCAACTCAAACCATTTTGTGCGCTCGAGCACCTTTCTTTAAAACCCTTTTCAGGTAAGGACATGATTAATTTACTTTTGTTCCAACACATAAGTCTCCAAAGGTCAAGCTGCGGCAGAAGGCGGAATTAACTTCGTCCAGAAAAAACACAAACAAACAAAAACATATGAGTTGAACTACGGTAGCTCTGATTCCTCAAAACGGACACGTAGGCATTGGGGTAGGGCCCAAGCGAGCATAATTTTATTTTTACTACATTCTTTTCTCATTTCTTTCGCATGCATTCTCCATTCAGTAGTATAGTATACAGTAAGCATAGATTAAACACACCCATAAGATAGATAACAAGAAGTGGATACCATAGAGTACTACGGGCGTATGGGGTGCTAATACCTTCCCCTCGCGTAACAGACTCCCTTACCCGATTTCTCAGTCGCAAGACCGTGACTTCTCCCTCATCAGGTTTTCTCGATGTTTACCTTTCCCTACACGTGGGATAAAAGATATTCGATGGTGACTTCATTGTTTGATGATTTTCAGCCGATTGTTTCAGGGGGAATTTCTGATTTTTGGACCTAGCAAATGATCAATTGGTTTGAAGCATGATTTCAAGAGTTCAGTTGCATCATCTTGACCTAATGACATGATTTAAAACATTACAAATTCATTGGATTGAATGATGAATTTTCCAGTCAACTGATCAAAAGTCAACTTTATACTGAAAAGTCAGACTTTGAATTTTTGGTCAAATTCAAGTGCCAAGGATCACAATTCATCAAAACATGTAAAAATGTGAAACTTGTTCATCAAGAAACAAAAGATTTCAGATTTGGATTTGAAAAGTTGAAAAATTCTAACTTAGAAAATTTTCTAAGTATAGAAAATTTCTTATTTTTTCTCAACTTTAAGCCAAATTATCACCATGATACAAGATGATTCAAAGGAAGTTCCCAATATGAAAGTTGTAAATCTCCATGAAATGTACAACTTTGCTTCACAAAATTTCTCCTAAATATACTTGGAACTCAAGATATAATTTTGTGAATACATGCTCATGAACTAAAATAACTTAGTGAAATTTTGCCCTAGTTAGGCAGGTTTTTGACCTAACTTTATGGCAACTTTTCACCTAGTTCCAAGAGGAATTTTTAAAATAATTTCAAATATGGGTTGTAGATCACATTACTAGATTTCCAAAATGTCCCATAACTCCATGAGATAATTCTTGAGTAGGGAGAATCGAAGAGATGAAGTTAGAGTTTTATCTCTTTGATTATAGGTCATTTTCATGAAGAACAGGTTTTCAAATCTACAAATTGGCTGTAAATCTTCACTTTTCAGGCCTCAAACTCGTTTGTCACTCCACCATTAATGAATTGCACAAGGTTTCATACCCTAAAGCCAAGCATTCAATGCATTATACAAGAAAATAACCATTTTTTGAAGAAAGGCAACATTGCCATTTTGGAAAAGCATGCTTTTTGCATTTTTTCATTTCTTGAGCCTTGGACTTGTTCTTTCTGCTTTAACCAAATCTCTAAACCTGAACAAAACATGTTTAAAGCTTAAAGCCACCCTACAAGATCAGAATCATGCCTTAAGAATTCACTTCTCACACTCGCTTCAAAAACAAGAAATGTAGTAAGACATGTGATCTTGTACTTCTGAGCAAGCACAAGTCCTCCAACCTTTTGCTCTATATAAAGCCATAATTTTGCAATTAAAACCATGCATGCCCAAGCCTTGAAACAACATAGAATCAGAAGTTGCATACCAAGCCTCCAAACTTGCCATTTCTGACTTATGAACTGAATCTTCCATTTCACTTGTGCGTTTTCAAGCCTTTTGCTTTCCCAAGCTTCCTTACCTTACAAGTAAACCATCCCACACCCTGAAACAACACTGTAACTCCATCTTCTCCATTGTTGAAGTTCAAAAACAGAGTAACACATGTGGACTTCTCCAGACCATTCCAGCCACCCTCAAGACAAGCTAAGCATTACATTAGCTTCCTAGAGGTTCAAGGAAGCTAACCTGATCATCACAGCATCCTAAAGCAAGCTCATTTTCAAAACACGATTTCCATTTTCAAGGTGAGTTTTTTGTTTTTCTAACTCTTGATAAAGACATAGTTAGCTTTCCATTTGTGAATATATAATGTAGACATCATTGCTACAAAGCTGTACATATCCATAACTTGCATTTATTTGGCTTGCGTTTAGAGAATTTTAAGTTTGAAGTTTTTGAAAAAATTAGGTTAATAATTAGGGCCAACAAAATTCTCTGTGATCTTGGACTTATAGTTTTAGTTATGCACATGGTTAGAATCATGAAGTAAAATGATGTAATGTTCATGTTATCACTTTCCATTTTTGTTGAGAAATGAAAAAGTTACAGGGGGTTCGGCTGGCTAGAGGTAGAAGATAAAGTACATGGCAAGGCAATGTTTTATGTTATGTATTTTTGTTTTCATTTAGACTAATGGATGTACAGCCACCCCAGTGGTAAGGCAACGCACAAAAATGCCCTGGGTCGTGGGTTCGAGCCTTGGCGCTGCCTTTTTGCAAATTTTCATATTTTTCCAATCTTTTTTTGCTAGCTTGCAGCGTGGGCCTCTAATTGTTGGGCTTGTTGTTTTTTTTCTAACTTCCTACCCCTCATCTGCCTTCAGCACCCCTAGCCCAAATATTTTATTTGCTTATTTTTATTTCACTTTATTTTATCAAATATATTTTCTTAATAATAAAAAATCATAAAAAATATAAAAATGGTAAATATTATGTTTTGTTTTATTTTATTTTATTTTCTCATTAAAAATATTTATTTATTTTATTTAAGTTATATACTATCTTTTTAATAAACTTGTAAACTAAAATAGAATTAGGTTAAATATTTATTTTTCTTCACACCTATTAAGTATTTATTTTAACATATAAAAAGACCAAATACTTCATAAATACCATATATTATTTTCAAGACAAAAATACAAAAATACTTACTTTTTCTCAAAGAAATTTATTCCCTTTTGATAAAATAGAATTAGGGTTTAATCAAAATCCTTTCTAAAAATACTTTTCTTTCTTAATTAATTTGAGTTTAATCTTGATTCATTTATTAGGTTTAGGTCAAAACTTTTTCCACATAAAAAACCAAACACAATCTTCTTTGCATTCATACATATTTACATATTTGATTTATCTTGTATATTACTTATTCCAATAATTGTACATATTCAATTTGGTTGTAATAGCTTAATTAGGTTTATATTATTGCAAATCCCCATTCATAAATTGTATTTCCCTTCCCACAAAATGTTGTAATAGCGTAGTAATCTTTAAATTTCACAATTTATCACTTTACATAACATGTTAGTAATTAGGTTTTGTATGGAAAGATAAAATTAATCAAATAGAAAACCCTAATCCAAGACAAAATCAAGCATGAAAATGACACACTTGCACACAAGACACCCCTAGGGTTA